ATATATATATCTGTATATCTCTGCATCTGTTCATATATCTCTGCCTGCCATAGTAGTAAACATACCAGAGTCTGTGCCTATATGTTCTTATGTTTCTACCTAGGACCCGTGCATAGCTGCCATCAGCCGGATATTCAAACTGTGCGACAGAGACTGCGATGGGCTGTTGAGTGACACAGAGCTCAATGACTTCCAGCGGAGGTGTTTCAACGCACCCCTACAGACACAGGAACTGGAGGGGGTCAAAGACGTGGTTAAGCAGAACACCGAGGATGGTCTCCGCAACGGATATTTAACGCAGGATGGTATGAGTGGGGTTGTGTGTTGTCTTGAATTGCCTCTCGGGATTCCTGTACCTACATAGACTGTCTGTGTGTCTGTGGCCTTTTATCTCTGGTTTTTGTACCTACTTAATCTGGTTTTTTAACCTACTTAAGTTGTTTGTGCCCCTTTAATTGCCTTTCAGGATTCCTTTAATTACATAAACTGTCTGTGTGTCTGTGACCTTCTCTCTCTGGTTTTTGTACCTACTTAATCTGGTTTTTTACCTACTTAAGTTGTTTTTCCCCCTTTAATTGCCTTTCAGGATTTCTTTACCTACATAAACTGTCTGTGTGTCCGTGACCTTCTCCCTCTGGTGTTTGTACCTACTTAATCTGGTTTATATACCTACTTAAGTTGTTTTTTCCCCTTTAATTGCCTCTCAGGATTCCTTTACCTACATAAACTGTTTGTCCAACGCGGACGTCTGGAAACAACGTGGGCGGTGCTGAGGAAGTTCGGCTACGGTGACGACTTACAACTGAGTCAGGACTTTTTGAGCCCGAAAATCGAAATCAGGGCAGACGAGACCGTAGAATTAGGGTCGAGTAGTATACACTTCCTTACACAACTCTTCCGATCATTTGACAAGGTGCGGTTGGGTGTCCCTTGCATTTTCACCTTGACATGTTTTATGGGGGGGCACGAGTTTCGTGGACTGTCTCAAATATTTTGGTGCAAATACGTCCTGCGTGTGCGACATACCTACCGTCCGGTGTTTTTTTTTCCTCGGATATTCCAATTACATATCTGGTCTACATCAGAGGTCTCTTGCCAGATGTGTTATCTGTTGGATGTGCCACAGCCATCCGGCGGATTGTCTTTACAAACCCCTAGAACGTTTTTATTCGTGTCTATTTCATTGCCTTATTTCCTCACCCATTGACCTTTTTCCTCTCCCATTGCCTTATTTCCTCACCTATTTCCTTATTTCCTCACATATTTCCTTATTTCATCACTCATTGCCTTATTTCCTCACCACTTGGTGTATTTCTTCTCCGCCCATACCACAGGACCGTGACAGCGCACTTTCATCAGAAGAGCTGACTGCGCTGTTCTCCGCAGTACCCCCATCACTAATCAAAGACATGGAGTTCACTGCTGGAGTGGCGTCTAACAATCAGGGATGGGTCACACTGGAAGGTATGGGCAGGATGTCCAGGCATGTTCATATTATATATATATATATATGTGTGTGTGTGTGCGTGTGTATGCTTATCTCTATCTTATCTGTATCTGTATCCGCATGTGCATGTGCATGTATATCTGTATCTGTATCTGCGTGTGTATATGTATGTATACCTGTATGTGTGAATGTATGTGTATGGGCATCTATCGCTCGATCATTCCTTCCCTCGTCTCATACTTCCATCTCCTATCATATATACCTGAGTATCATGCATCATGTACATCTGATTACTTACCTACATTCGTCTCTTCCATTGGGTTTTAGGGTTTCTTGCGGCTTGGGTGCTGTTTACTCTTGAGCATCCAGTGAATGCGTTGGGTAGTTTTGCGTGTCTGGGCTACCCCGACGATGACATCACATCGGCCGTTAAGGTGACACGCAGTAAAAAGATTGATTTCAAGAAACAAAGGACTACGCGCACAGGTGAGAGGACATGCAAACACTTTGTATATGTATGTATGTATGAATGTTTATGTATATATATATATATATATTCTATGAACTTGTTTCACATATATCACAAATAAACGTACTTCGTGGTACAACACAACTGCTACCCTGCACATACCGTTTGCCTCAGATGACTATCTTCTGCCCGTACATCCCTTTAAAACTCGTGCGTATGCCTTATGTCTGTGCGTGTTATCAACCCACAGCCCCTGTCAGCGTTGTGTAGGTCGAGTTCACTTCTGCCGTTGTGTGTGTGTCATATGATACCCCATTCACACACAGCCATGACTTTATACTCTACAGTAACGTTTGTGGTATAGTTCATGTTGTGTGTGTGTGTCATAGCGTTTGTAGTTAATGTGCTCTGACTGGCATCCATGCTGTGTCCCCTGCGCTACAACGTATACTGTAAACCCATAACCATAAAACCCAACCCTTGTGCGCTAGACATTAAACCCCGAAAACCCTAAACAAGATAATACATCACCCTAAACCCTAAACCCTGCTCCATACCCCACCAGTGTTCATGGCCTATGTGGTGGGTGCGAAGGGCAGCGGCAAGTCCACTCTGCTGAACATGCTCTTGGGAAAGCCACAGAGCCCCAGCGCACCCCTCAACAGCACATCAGGCAACGGTGAAACAGTCGCTGTCAATGGCGTCAGTGTCAACGGCGCAGAGAAGTACTTGGTGGTATGTGGAGGGTTATGTATATGGGTATGGGTATGGGTGTGTATATGTATATGTATGTGTATATGTATATGTATATGTATATGTATATCGGTAAGTATTTGTATGTACATGTCATGGAAGACTACCTGTGTGGGATGTGCCGTGGTACATTTAGTTCCTAAGGTGCTTACTGGTAGTAGAGAGGTGCCCATATTTGTTGTAGTGCTGTGTTGAGTGCATGCAGTGGTAAGTGTCATGCACATTTATGAAAGAGAGGAGTGTGATGAGATGCGTAGAGCCTCATAGTACCATGTGTTAGGGTTTAGGGTTTAAACTCTCTAACTTTAGGTTCAGTTTTGTCAGTTGTGCATTACTTACGTTTGGGTCTCTGCATTGTCTGTATTCTATATCCCTAGAAAAGCTGAAGCCAATCGCCACATACGCTTTGAGATTTGGGACTACGTTTGTATGAGATAATGTATCAAGTTTGGCACTACACTGCACATAATATACAATCACTATATGGGTTTCTAAACCTAAATCTCCTAAATCTGTAATTTCTATTGACTTTGTATCTGACACTGTTCCCAAAGTAACGTCTCATTTGTACGTCTTAAGTTCACCCAATCTCTACATACACTCACCCGTACCGTTGCCTAAACCCTTCCGCCACATACCTGCTGAACCCTGAACCCTAAACCTAAACAATTGGTATTCGCACTCTGTGCAGTTGAGGGAGTTCGCGGCCAATGGAAGCGATGTCGATATGATCAGAAACCAACAAGCACTGGAGAACAAATGCGATGTGGTGGTGTTCTTATACGACGCCTCAGACCCAAACTCATTCGAATACGTCGTCAATCTACAGGTGGGTGTATATATTATCACGTACATGGCATACAACTTTCTTGTATGAATACAATATATATATATATATATATTTATATTTATGTATATAT